ATTTTTAACCGACTTCAAAAAAGGAGGAGGTTATCAATTCGTCGCGATATTTTTTTTTTTTATGTATGTTCAGCGATTATTCTTTAACAAGGTGTCCGATTTCAATGATTCTTTTTTTGTTAGAAAAGGGGTATTTCAGGGGTGGTCCCATATAAATTTAGTCAAAATCTAATAATTGGGTCCATGAGAAAATCCTCAAACTCTTCATTTTTTATGTATGTTCAGCGATAATTTTTTAACAGGGTGTCCGATTTCAATAATTCTTTTTTTTGTTAGAAAGGGGCTACTTTGGGGGTAGTCCCATATAAATTTAATTAAAATCTAATAATTGGATCTATGAGAAAATCCTCAAACTCTTCATTTTTTATGTATGTTTAGCGATAATGATTTACCACCTTGTCCGATTTATACGATTCTTTTTTTGTTAGTAAGGGGGTACCTCAGGGGTGGTCCCATATAAATTTGGTTAAGATGTGGTGATGGCATCTGCACGTTTTTGAAGTCGGTTTTTTTAAATTTTTAATTTGTAATACTTGTTAATCTCAGTTCCCTTGATATTTACATCAAGGAGGTTGCTCTGACGACAATGACACACCTCCGCACGGTTGGAATAGAACCTGATGTTAGATCTGGTGGGACGAGACGTCGCTTTTGGCAGGAGGCGCTCGATATGCTCCCACTGCTACAAGCGAACATGAACTCCATATCACCGAGATATATAAAGTTATAACAGAACAAATAGAAGAGCCGGAAGTGGCAGGTACGATTCATATCTACACCGATGGTTCTAAAACAAAACAAGGCTCAGGATGTGAAGTATACTCCAAATTCTTCATCCTAAATATAAAATGGGCTGTGAGCAATAGTTTAGTTCAACCAAAGCTAACGGGGATTCTTATAGTAGCAAAAGAAATCACCAGAAACAATATCACTGGAAGAAACATGGTCATCTATACAGATAGCAGACAAGCACTACTCACCCTGAACAGACCACAAATTTATTCAGGGTTAGTACTAGAATGTCATGAAGCTTTGAACGAAGTATCCATCAACAATGTGGTCTAAGATGGATTAAAGGTCACGCCACATCGAAAGGTAACCGTCTTGCTAGCCAAGAAAGCAGCCAACCAAGTACTTTTTGGACCTGGTCCTTCTATTGGGCTGACAAAATCGGTAGCGAAAGAAAATTCACTTGTCGAATTCAAGAAAAGATGGGATGAAACAAGAAATTGCAGAGTTGCCAAAGAGTTCTTAAGTTATCCTGATAACACTGCAGCAAACAAATACTTGACTATGACTAGACAGATTCTGCGCCTAGTCACAGGCATCTTGACTGGTCATTACCAAGTACGGAAGCATCTCCATATCATGTAACTGTCAGAATCCGCACTCTCGCAGAGGGTGCGAATAAGAAAATTAGACCATCGAGCATATCCTTTACGATTTATTAGAAGATTTGTGTTCGGCGAATATCAGCTAACACCGGCTGATATAACAGAAGCCCCTCTTGGCGACGTTGTCAACTACATTAAATCTGTAGGCTGGCTCACGAGCTAGGAGGTGTCTATCATCTTAGAAGGATGCACAATGGGCATGGTGAAGCCTTAGTACCGTGGGGGTAACCCACCCTCCACACGTTACCGATACAGATAGATGTTGGTCACATGATGGTTTAGAGAAGACTGAAGGAACAGCAGCTTCATCCCTATCACTTAACAATCGTTCAAGAATTTCTAGATAAAGATTATCCTGAAAGAATGGGATTTTGCAACTGGTTCTTAACGAAAAACAATCGAAATATCAATATCATTAATTATATTTTGTTTACCGATGAAGCTACCTTCAATAGAAATGGTATTACGAATTACCATAACGAACACAAATGGCCGAAGAAAATCCTCACGCAAAAAAGTGACTCATCACCAAAGGCCTGTTAAAGTCAATGTTTGGGCAGGCGTTGTGAATAATAATTTAAATGGTGCAAATTACTTGCAGTTGTTACAAATTCATTTACCAGAGTACTTGGAAGAGGTAAATTCAGGAATAAGGAAAAATATGTGGTATTTACAAGATGGAGCTCCTGCGTATTTCGATAACGAAGTTAGGGAATATCTTTTCGGTCTGTACCCTGGACGTTGGATTGGACCTATTTCTTGGCCAGCCATAAGTCCAGATCTTAATCCTATTGACTTTTACTGCTGGGGTTTTATGAAAGAGAACGTGTATTATGTTGAAATAATCTACGAAAAACAACTGACGCATCGAATCATTGAAAGTGCAAATCGATTTCGTCAGAAACCAATGATCTTCCAAAAAAATGGGTTTTCCTTTTTAAAACGGTGCCGAATGTGTATTCAGGAAAATGGAGGCCATTTTGAACATTTAAACATTTATTATAGTAAATACTACACATTTATACATATTTTTTTTACTTGTGAATAACACGAATACTATTGAATACTCAGTATTAACTTAATTTCTGTTACTCAAAATTTTTGAAGGATAATGAAAAAGAGGCCGCATTCCGATAAAAACTGGCTTTTCGAAAAAGAGCTAAGAGGCAAAAAAAATGATGTATGGTGTTAGTCCAGAGTTGGGTCGGATACAGCAAAAAAGTATCCGAGTACCGTGTACAGATACTTACAATGTATCCGGATACTTTTTAGGATACTTTCACCTAAAAAGTACTCAGATACAAGTATCCGGATACTTTTTTCGGATACTTTTACGGATACTTTTAAAGTGAGTTAAAATAATGGTTTCATACCAACCGTTATAATTATGCAATAAGATTGATTACGAGTAACAATAAACAATACTAGGCATAAATAAATTATTGAAAATGGAAAGCGATATATAATAGAAACAGGAAAAAAACTATTCAATAAATTGTTTATTATTTTTATTCTGTGAATATAAAACATTAAAACAAAATGAACAATAAAACATAAAGGTGCGTGTAAATAAAACGAGTCGCGCCTGAACCGCGCCAAAAACCAACCAGTGTCGTGTTCATATAAATCTAACGAAATAAGCTCGTTGTTGGCGCGACTTGCCATGTTTATACAATCCATTTTTTATGGATCCTCCGACGAGGGGTACTTGGTAGAGTCGAGAGCGTCGAAAGAAGGAGGAGTGAGAGATTGCTGAATGTTTCGTTCTGGCATATGCAAAGCAGGTTCGTATATTTGATCTTGTCAGATCTGTATACTTTATTGATGTTGCTGACGACATAAATAACACATGATCAGTAACATTATAAGCAACGACGTCATACATGTATTTTCTCGACTACATTTTAAGAACTAATAATGCAATTAGACATTTTACGAAACAAAAAATTCGAGGTAACTACACCTTTATGTATAATTACTATAGTTAGGCACTACAGAAAGTTTAGTTATATTGCACTATATAAAAACACAGGAACAGCCGTCTCTTGTCTTTGCCAACTGAAACATAACTGGGCTAATGGAACCTCCACAAGTTCGTGACGCCAACACCGGACAAGGATTTGCAGGATTTTTCCTGTAAAAATGTGCCGCAAGATGCTGAATCCCGACCGTCTGTATACTGGGTGAATTGTCGAATTCATCCTTGGCGATGAGAATTTTTTTTTGCGTTATTTAAATTATACAGGATGCACCAAACAAAACTACAAATCATAATAAAATAATTATTTTACTATTTTTTATTTAAGTAGGTACCTATTGCAATTGTGTCTTAAATATTGTTATATTGAAAAATACGTATTTTATTTCTAATTATACAGGGTAGCTTAAAGTATTTCGATTATATATTTTAATAGAGATAATATGGGTTGGATCAGTTACGATTGTGGTAAATAATTTAAAAGTATCCGAATGCAGAAAAGAGTCATGGATACGAATACCAGATACAAAATTTGAAAAGTATCCGGATACAGCTTTCGTATACACATAAAGTATCCGGATACTCTGAGTGTTACAATACTAATTTAATTGTAACGCATAGAAAAGTTTGGAGGGTTTTAGGTTCAAAACCCCCCTAAAATTTTATGGGCTATACAGATTTCGTGGTTTTAAATAAATGGTTTTAAATGAAAATGATGCTCTTACGATAAGCAAGCCATGGATCAACTTTCATTACAAAATGTTAAGCAGTTCATGAAATATTGGAAAAAATCGATTTTCATTTTGTACTTTCCAAGGGCTGTAACTTTTTTGTGTGCACATTTGCATTCAGGTAAGTTATGTTCAATCGAGTTATTTTTGAGCCCAGAATATGAGGTTCCATTTATGACCTATCTTTTTGTTACACCCTGTTTATACTTTTAATATTCTTCTCATTGAATTTCGCTTGTAAAAATCGTTTACGTTGAATCTTAAGAAAACAGAATTTCTTGTTTTTATTATCATTAGTATTAATTTTACATCGGTGGTGTCATCGACATCAACTCAATTCAATATAATATCAATTTATTGCATTAAAAGGAATAACTTATTTATATTCGAAAAATTTACAAATTTAAAGTTTTAAGAGATTACTACCAGTAAGCAAATTCTTGGTATATGGAGTATGCAAATTAAAATAATAGAAAATTATGTACTTCAATAGTTTTTATGTTTACTTATTTTTTAAAAAATATTAAAATTGTTTAATTTTTTCAATTTCTACGAAATGACATTGAAGATTTTTTGGTGTTAAAAGAGATAAGTATTTCGGTGTATATATATAATAGTTAATAATTATGGATCAGATATTTCTGTTTTCTTGTAATTTTTTGTTAGAGAAACTTAATATTCTGTGATTACATTGGTAAGTATAAATATTTGCTTTATACACATGTTATTTGATACCATTTGTCATTGTTTAAGAAATAGCTAATTGTAATAAGAGTGCAGAATTAAAATATGATGATTCAGATTATTAGAATTGTAGAAGATTTTAAGGTTGTTCATTGAAAATTAAACACATTTATTTACATCATTAATGTAGGTACTAAATAATGTGGGTTCTAGGTGAGAGTCCTGAAGCACACCTAACGGTATTATTACAAAATTTTATTAGACAATTCGTGAATTGAAAATAAAGCTATGCGACATGGTCATTTAAATACCATATCAAATAAAGATACATTCAATAAGTATGCAAGTAACAAATACGTATATTATCGGTTTATTTGGCATCCACTAAGTACCTAAGTAACATCTAAGCATGATTTTCGTTACAAATAGTTTGTCTCCAAAGTAAACATTACGTAACAAAAGTGGCAAGAGCAGAAAACCGCAAGAGTGAAAGCTAATACGCTATGCACCCGTAACTCGCTTGCAAATAGTGATCGACCGAACCCTGTAACCAAAACATGGTGCTTTACGAGCTACTTCTTTTTTGCGTGGTGAATTCAGTACCCTCGGCATACGCATATTTGGATAAGCAACGTAAGTAAATAGATCAGTTTTTGTGGAAATCGAAAAGAAAAGTCCTTGGTGGCGAATGTTGTGTAAAAAGTATGTTGCTGAACAAAGAGGTACCTACTCGATTTTTTTTTGTTGTGAGGGTTAATTTTTGAGAATTTTAATTATTTGATATTTTTATATCGTATTATATTCAAAGCACGCACAATCCCGTCTAATAACTTTTTTATTTTAAAATTAATTGTGGGTACCAAATATTTTGTATATTGAAAAAAAACATTAATTGTATTTTTCTGGTTGTGATTTTGGTTTTGGTTTTCTTGGGTTGTAGGTGTTTGAATTAAAGTAAAACTACAGTTTCATAATAGTGAAGTTGTAAAGCTTTCGGCGATTGTATGTACCTTCAAAAATACTTTTATTAATATTCTTTAGTTAGTCATGTCTATTATCATTGTATACAGGGTGTTTGATGGTTTTCTTGGGTTGTAGGTGTTTGAATTAAAGTAGAACTACAGTTTCATAAATAGTGAAGTTGTAGAGCTTTCGGCGGTTGTATGTACCTTCAAAAATACTGTTATTAATATTCTTTAGTTAGTCATGTCTATTATCATTGTATATAGGGTGTTTGGGGAGGTGATAGGGGAGGTCATTTAGACTTATTTAAGTCTAAATTATATTTTGATTAAAAAAACAGATGAGTGCAGTAATTATATACGGTCGAAACTTAAGCAATTATCACATTCTAATACACCTATTCTATTGTGCGCTTTTTTATAAATTCAATCTAGTGTGCAATACAAACGGTAACAATTTAAAATTTTACTATATTCTACGGCAAGTAAAAATGGGAGTTCCACAAGGCTCTGTTTTGGAATCTCTGCTTTTTTCTTGTACGCTAGACTAATAAATTGATTGACTCGTTTATAAAATTAAATGAGGTAATGTCGTAACTATGTATCATTTATAATAAAAGTAATAGTGAATTTTTTAAATTGCATTTGGGTCAAATTTCTTAAGTTATTAATGTCAGATTATAATATCGTCAATAAATGATATTTGTTAAAAAATGAGGTGATATATGAATAAATGAGAGCTATTTAATAATATAATATTTTGTGGATAAGTTTGATATCATCCTGGTTGTAAGAAATATTAAAAAAATATATTAACAAAATTTGTAGAGTGGTTTGAAGGCTACTTTTTAAAATTAAATAGAAATATATTCAGGCACGAATAGAGGGTTGACAAATTTACGAAAGGGAAACGCGGGACAACGGTGACGACAGGGGATCAGGTTAAAAAACCAAATATTTTTAAAAATCAGGCCCTTTTTTAATAAACCAGGCCCTTCTGGCGAACTTAAAAAGAAAAGTCCTCAGCTTTTTTTGTAAACCGGGTCCTTTACCTCTTCAAACAATTCTTTATTTATAACTTTGGATATTTAAAAAAGCGTGGAATTTGAGTAAAAAGCGTGGATTTTTAGTAAAAAGTGTGAGATTTGAGTAAAATGCGTGGAATTTGAGTAAAAAGTGTGGCATTTGAGTAAAAAGCGTGGCATTTGAGTAAAAAGCGGGACATTTTCGTACTTTGGCGTGACGTGTGCTAGCTAGTGAAAAAGCGGGACAATTACGGCTAAAGCGGGACGTCTGGCAATCCTAGGTACGAACCATACATGATTTTTTGAACCAGAACGACAGTTTTTATTTTAGATTTATATTACTTTCACTTTTTCGATTCTTTTTTCCATTTGTCTAGGTTATATAGGGCACTCTAAAAGAAATTGGCATTTTTGAATGAAAACCGTAAGTAAATCAAAATGTGCTATACTTTGCTTTAGTAACGTTTTTAATCTATGCTTATTAGTATACAGGGCGATTCAAAACTCGGACCCTTGATTTTCATGTTTTATTTAAATGGGACACCCTATATTTTTTATTAGCAGTTAATTCCTCTGAAAAAAGCCTTCCATTTTTATTAAGCATTCGTTATACCTACAGTTAATAATTATCGATATTTTGTAACATTAAATTAACACTATGTGATAATTAAAACTAGTTTTTTAAAGAAAAAATTATAAACTTTAAAAAATAATATGTATGAAATAAATAAAAGACAAACAAAATAATAATTAAACAAAATAATAATTAAACAAAATTATAAAAGTTGTTCAAAGTAACCTGCCATAACATTAAAACAGCGTTGTAAACGAAGCTCAAATGATTGACTCACATTTCTTAGCAGTTCGGATGGAAAACTCGGAGTAAAGTTAGAGCAGGAGTAAATTTTGGTCACGTGACATCGGAGTTAATAGAGTTAATTGTATTAATTTGAACGCTACTTCTGTTTAGGAGTTTGAAATAATAATAAACATAACCCTATATAAAATAATTTTATTTTTGCGTTTGCGGTTGAAAGAAATTATTTTATGTGGATTGTAAAATTTGCAATAGAAAAGGGTCTTGACGATGATGAGGGAAAATATGTATAATTGTGTCGAAAACACATTACCAATATGGTTTCGAGTCTTGAGTCACCCTGTATACTAATAAGCATGGAATAGAAAGGTTACTAAAGAAAAGTGTAATACATAATATTAAAAAAAATACGATTTTCTTGTAAGAATGCCATTTACGTTTCGAGTACCCTATATAACCTAGGAAACCATATTTTGGAAGAATGGAAAAATGAGAGCAGTGTAAAATAATAAACTGGTGTTCTAGATTAAACAAATATATGTTTGGTTCGTATCTGTGTCATGCAACACCCTGTATACCTCTATGTAATTTTAAAAGATGGCCCCTAAGCCACCCTATAAATTTTGTCTATTTTTTAATATATCTTACAACAAGGAAGATATCAAACTTTTCCACAAGATTGGTACACCCTGTATATTGTCATTGTGATTTTTACATATGCAGACTTAAGAAAGAGGTGTATTTTTGAAAATTAAACAAAAGTCTATGATTTTAAATTAAAAAAAAATCTGCTTTTAATCCAATAATTTCTCAATATCTACTAAAGGTAAGTATAACAAAAATTCAGATATTTAAAAAACAATCTTGAATCGGATATATAGCATTATTCATAAACAAAAACAAATCAGTGTTTTTAATAAAGAAGCTAGTTTTATCGTTCTTTCTAAAATCCTTTGATGCCAGTTTTGAATTTCTTATCACATTTTTGTTTTATTAATTTTGGATATTTTAGGAATTTAAAGCTTTATGTAGATGATTATTGCTTTGTCGAGCGATAACTTATTTTAAAATTAATTCGTAATATCTTAATTTCTAATTTCCTTCTTGAAAGTTCGGATCGAATTTAAATTAAATCAAGCAATTTTATTAATCAGTAGGTATTGAACCTTCAATTACATGTTTTCTGCTACCATTCTCATCTGAAGAATATGTCGATACTTATTCTGTTTTTTTACCCTAGTACTGGTTTGGATGGTTTTTTAGCATTTACACATTTTTTCTTTGTGCTCTGTTTCAATATATCTTTTACTTCGATTTATATTCTTTCAGGAATCATCGGTAAACTCCTATACCAATATTGCATCTTCAATTAAATATAATTCGTTTTATATCAAATAAATTCGTTTATTTCATGAAATATATAAGATTTCTTATATTCTTTGTATTTTTCCATTAAATTTATTACATCAAATTACATTGATTTCTAAGGCCAAGTAAAATATTTCAAAATACCCAACTACAATAAATACATAATTTGTGTGTAATAATATCGCCAAGTGCTGAATTTCTCATTTCAAAACACATTATTAGAGTACACTTTACTTATTTTTTTTTTATTTCATAACATACGGTGTAATTAAACACATATTTTATGGTATGGAGCAACAGACTGGGGTCGGAAGCTGAAATTATTATTCATTTTATTAAAGATACTAAAAAAAAAAGCGAAAAGGGATATGTATCGAATAAAAGCAGATTCCAATTTAAGAATTTTATATTTTCTTAAATCAGAAAACTCGTAAAATTCACCTTTCTTCGACAATAATTTACGCAGGTATATAAATATGGCAATAAAAAACGTACCTAATTTTATTGAACAAAACATAATTTTTGAACTTGCCATGCAGTCGTCAGTGGCGTAGCGTGGGTCAAAGGGCGGTGGTGGCGGAGCTTTTCTGTGGCGCCCAAACTTCTGTCTTTAAGTATTTTTATCGAATAATGAGATATGCATATACATAGAGATACTGTTTGAAGATTAACAAACATATAATTCAATAGTTAACAGAAATCACAGGGATTCCAGCTAAAATCTGTTTATCTACATTTTTTTTTTGAAGTTATGAATAAAAGAAGATCTTTCAATATCTAGATTTATTTATAAACATAGAAACAGTGATATTTTGCCGAATTTATACAGTTTTGTTCACCAATAAGAAAAATAACAACATATTAAGAAAGAGAGGTTGTGTATCGTTATATGCAGTCAAGCAGAGTCACCCACAGTTAGTACATGGATGTTTGCCTATTCGAGGAAAGTCGGCGTATCTATAAAAGCCCAAACTGCCCGCGTAATTGCATACCACAGCTGGCAGGCGCCATATCAATGAGTATGAGGTATACCTTAAAGATCCCTATCTCTGGTTGGAAAACCAGAAGATCGGGCTAAATTTCTATTATTTGGAGGTAGCGTGCTCACTAGCGTCGGTGTTTAAACCATCTAGTTAGAAATAAGCTCACGTTAAATAAATTAATAAGTAAAGAACGTATAATTATTTAAAAACAAAAAAACTACTCTTTACACTTTTCATTCGATATAAAATAACATCTGTAGCAAGTTCCGATTCAATACTTATCAGAGCTAGATCACTGAGTCTCTGTTCTTTGGTACGATTTAATTTTTTGCAAACGACTGAATGATCTTTCGGCCCAGCACTATTTTTGCCAAGGTTTAAAATATTTTACATAGGTTTGTGATGTTCGGGTAAACACTCTCTAAATCGTTGGATATTATGAATGGTAATATTTCTTTAGTTCATTCTCCCTTTTGACATGTAACATGACTTCATCTACCGTACACGATGTTAAATCATAATACTTTTAATGTTATTATCAGTTTTACCCAGTTTTTCATCCGTTATATCTGTATCTGTAACTTGTGGAGAGTGGTTTGCCCTCCATGGCATCACTAAACTCATTGTACATCCTCCTAGGTCGTCAGCCAGTAGATGTAATTAACAACTTTGCCGATAGGAGCTTCTCTTATATCGGCCGGTATTAGCAGATACTCATCAACACAAATCTTCGGATAAATGAGAACGGTAGGTTATCGTAGAACATATACTTGAAGGTCTCATTTTTCTGTTCGCACCCCCTGCAGAGTGCGGATTCTGATAGACCCATGCTATGGAGATTCTTCCGAACGTGAAAATGACCATTTAGAATGCTTTTGGTCAGACGTAGATTTTATCTAGTCATAGTCAAGTATTTATTTGCTGTTCTGTTGTTGGGATAACTTATTAGCTCCCTAGAAATTATACAGATACTTTTGCCATTCCATCTTTCGTTGAATTTCTCAAAGGAATGTTCCTTAGATTTGTCATAGTTGTCAGTCCAATTCAAGGGCCAGGATGTAGTTTGATCTTAGATGCATCTTAAGGTGACCACATTGTTGATGGATACTTAGGCCAAAACTTTGTGACATTCTAGTACTAATTCTCGTGCCATTCTAGTACTAATCCTGAGTAAATTCTTGGTCTATTGGGGGTGAGTAGTTTTTGTTTGCTATCTGTATAGATGGACATGTTCCTTCCAGTGATATTGTTTTTAGTAACTTCTTTTGCTGCTATGAGAATCCCCATGAGTTCGGTTTGAACTACACTGGCACTATTGCTCACAGGCCCATTTTATGTTTAGGTCTAAGAATCTGAATAATATTCCACATACTGAGCCTTGTTTTGTGTAGATATTGTTCGTACCTGCCACTTCCGGCTCTTCCATTTGTTCGGTGTAGTCCATGGTTTCCATGTATGCTTGAATCAGTGGAAGTGTATCGAGCGCCTCCTGCCAAAAGTGACTTCTTTTCTCACCAGATCCTACATCAGGTTCTATTCCAACAGTACTGAGTCATGTCATTGTCATCAGAGCAAACTCCTTGATGTAAATATCAAGGGAAGTGAGACCGAAAATGAATTTCATGGCTCTAGTTGGTGTTGTTCTCATGGCTCCTATTCTTTTAAGACATGCTGTTCTATGATTTTGTTCTAATTTGCGGATACCTGTCAATTTTCGATACCCATATAACTGCACCGTTTGATAGCATAGATCTTATGTTATGTGGGTATAAATCTAAACTTTTGTGAAACTTCTATGAAGTTTTTAAAGCGGTTAATATTCTCTTTTTGCTGTTTTATTGTGAATTACGAATATAATCCGGGAACAAGGGGGCGCAAGGTGCTCTAATAGCAAAGGCTGTCGCCCCCCTAGCCACCTCTACGCTACGCCACTGGCAATCGTGGCTTGCTTTCTTTTATATTTTAAAAGAAAATGACAACCTGCAATTTTGTTCGTTTCAAAAAATAAAAGCTTCGTGCATGAAGACGCATTCGCAAAAATTAACTATTACATTTTCTTCACATAAATGTCCATTTTTCCATGCATAAAATTAAAATTTTCACCAGAATCGTTTTTCCTTAAAAAAGATTTAAATATTTTTGAAGAGAATCGTTGTGAATATATAAGTATACTCGTAAGGAACTTTTAATGAGTGATGTTTAACGTTTGTTAACAGTTAATACAGTTTTGGTAATTGTTATGTGCAATGTATTTTTTCAAGGTTATAAATTAAAAATTATGTGTTTTTATTAATGAATTAATGGAATAAAATATACCTATATTTTATTTTTCCGTTTTAGAACTCAGAAAACCGATTTATCTGTCCTGTAACTCAGAATAATAGATTATTCTGACATGTGGTGACACTTTCCTCGCTAACTCTAAAATTCTTAAATTTCATAAAGTTGTAGGTTGTAGGTACCTAAGCATATGCCATAAATAATAACTTAGGAGCGTAACGCACATTGAAAACAAGTGACACTATACAGAAATGAACAATTTATACTTTCAAATTTTAATATTACAGCAATTCATTTGTTATTAATGGAATTATTTATTATAGTTTTAATTTATTTGTTAATCAGAAAGATAAAAAAATTAAGTAATACATAATTTGAAAAACCGATTTAAAACAGACATTTGTATAGTATCACTTTTGTTTTAAAGGTGCGATAAGTATTTTCAATGATGTATAACTATTATTACACAATTTTGCTTAAAGTATAACATTATACAACTGTCCAAATAATGTTTTAGCCCATTATGTTAAAACTTGCATGATTAAACAACCCAAAGAAATTTTTATAAATTGTTCAACAACTTCCGTACAAGGACTCTTTAATGAAATACCAAAGGGAGTACCAGAAATTGGTTTGCAGGTGTTGGATCCTCTGGAAGTTCCTGTTTTAAATGTAAGTACAATATAACATAATAAAAATTAAAAAAAATATACCGAAATGTCAAGCTTAAGACATATATGCTTGTATATGTAATGGTTAATATCGGACCCAAGGTTGAAACAGAAAATTTACAAAAATTCCATGTGAATGCATTAAATTTTACATCTAAGAATCGCTTAGGTTATGTCAAAATCAACCAATCAAATTCATTAATCATTGCACATTTTTACAAATATTTGTTTAGGTATTGTTTTTATTTAGTATTTGGTATAGCATTTATAATTTGGATTTTATTTTCGTTGTAGTTGCAGAACAACAACTAATTGACAAAGTGCAATTATTAAAAGGATAATTGCAAATCATATCGTATGCACAAATGAATCATGTCAAGTTTAATGTATTTAGTAATTCTAAGATAAACAAAACTCTCTTGCCAGCTGAATGTTAATGCCTTCATTTGCCATAATTGATAGCTTATGTGTGTTTCTAGCAAACAATAAAACTGACATTCTTGTACAAATAATAAAAACAGACTTTGCTTCTTTTTTGAATAATAATAATAATCAGTAATTAACTGTCCCATACGATATTATAAACTATTTTAAAAGTTTGACACATCACACTTATTGGTAATTGATGGGGAAAAGTTACCAAAAACTGTTGATGGTATTGAGTTTTAAATTGTTTAATCAATTATTGCATACAATTTTAAAACATTATCAATTTTATGTGAACATTTTATAGAGACGTGTTTGATCCAATCATCTTATTTTGGTCCAAATAGGGGAAGGTTGCCTAAAATGGGATACGTGGGTAAAATGGGATAGTGCCACTCACAGACTTACTAAATATGGCAACATCGTGCCATGACGTCAGAATTGTGCGCGTCGCTAGGCTAAAGGCTAACGACAATGAGAGAAATTCATTAGAACAACATCGGCTAATGAAGTGAATGGTTTTCATTTTTTTATGCCGGAATTGTAAATGTTTAATGTTATATGGTTTAATCATTTTCTCTCTTACATACAAGCATCAAGAAGTAATCCAGCATTATTTATTCTCGATAGTCATAAAACACATACGCAAAATATTTCTATCATAGATAAAGCAAGAGAAAATGGTGTCACAATTTTATGTCTCCCACCACACTGTAGTCATCGACTCCAGCCTTTGGACGTGTCATTTATGGCCCCTCTAAGCACCTTTTATTCACAAGAAATGGAGATTTGGCTTAGAAATCACCCAGGGCGAATAATGGCTCTTCCAAAGAAATGTTCCGAGGTTGCCAAAAGAAGTGCTTTACATGATATGCCGTCCACGAGCAAAGGTATAACTTTGATAAGTCCTGAACAAATTGCTCCTTATCCCAAAGTTCGTAAGCTTGATATTCGAAAAACTACAAATAGAAAAAAAAAAGAAAAGCTGCCATTCTTACGAGCATCCCTTATAAGGAAGAATTAGAAAACTCTTTAAAGGAAAGAAATAAAAAAGTTAATGTTGAGAAGATAGCTTTAAAAACAAACATCAACTTACTGAATGAAGAAAAATCTAAAAAGCCTTTAATCAAAACGAAAAAAATTACAAAAAAAGAGCACTGAATCATCAGAAAGCGATGATAATGCGGAATGCTTTTACTGCAACAACAGGTATTCAAAAGATGGACGTGGCGAAGGATGGATACAATGTGTTAGTTGTAAAAATTGGGCACATGATACCTGTGCAGGAGTCGAAGATAATGAAGATTTCTTTGTTTGCCATTTATGTCGCAACTGACATTTCAAAATTTGTTCTTATTACATTACACAAATTACTTTTGATTTACCTACTTTTTGTATTAAAACATTTTTCACCATTTTTAACATTAATTTTTTTATTCCCTTTTACCTCAACCATTGTTGCCATTTTACCCGCACTATGCGGGTAAAATGGGAAATTAACACTATTTTTTTGTGTGCAAAATAATACCATTATTTTTAAATTTTCAATTATCAACTTAAATTATAACATTCCAAACACGTCGTTTTTAATTATGTCAAAATATGAACCACTAAATATGAAAACTTTTGCTTTTATAATTTTTGAAACCTTAGGTATCCCATTTTAGGCAACCTTCCCCTACCTACATGTCCCAATAGTTGTGACTCACCCTGTGTAGGTATATGATGTTATCTACTCACTTTAGAAACATATTTGATCACCGTAAAAGTTCAAAAACTATGTAATTTATTCTGTGATTTAGTCAAAAAATTAACTGTCACTGTTAACTTTATTTAGCATATAATTTACGTCAACGCTAATGCGACGCATTAGGCATTCTAACGACCTGTCAAACAATAGCTGCCAGTGTTGTTTGTCAGTGGGAAGGGCTCATAAATCTAAGGGTGTTGCGACATAGCCTTCCATCTTGGACGTTATTTTTATTTGAAATAATAGTCGCCAAGCCTGCCAATTTATAGAAAATTTGTAAGCGGTTTTTTAAAAATAATATTTTTATTGTGTTGGAAGAAAAATATTTAAATTTATTCCATTAATTATGATTTTATGTATTATAGATACACTATACACTACATCGTATGTCGCAACCCTTTAGTCATACCAAACCTTAGCACCGCGTTTCATTTATTTGGAATGTCTAATTGTGTTCCGAGGGCAGAAAATCTATTATACAGGATGGTCCATATTTGTGGAATATATTTATTATTGGCTTTATTATTACGTTATGAAGAAAATCCTTGAACAGGTCGATTTTTATTTCTAAAATGACATTTTCTGAACAAAATTATTTATCTCCCCCCCTTCGGAGTAAAAGTCACCCATTTAATTTTTTTAAATAGAAAGGGGTAGCGTGTGATACCTCATTTTAAAGGGTTTTTAATTCCCTTTTCAGCAGTATAAGATTTTTTGTTTTTTGTACATTTATATTCAAGAAACATCAGTTTTTATTTTTAAAGCTTTTAACCAGCCCCCGAACTATTCTATTAATAATATTTCTTTTCTTAGGCCATGTAAAAAAATGGCAATAAAAAGTTAAACCGAGCTTTTTATGAAAATCTTTTGCTATTCTGCTACAAGGGAATAATTAGTTCAATTTTATGAACAGTCGTTATGGCGTATTTATCTAAAACTCGGAGAATAGATATTTTAATAATGCTTAGTTGTGACAATAGAAAACGAACGCATATGTGAATTATTATTAATACATATCCAGGACATAATATTTCACAGTCTACAGTTAACAAAGTAGCAAAGAAATTTCGTAGTACTGGGCATGTGAAGCAAGTTCGTAACGCAGGAAGAACACCTGAAGTTGATGAGGATAAACGATTAGATGTTATGATAGCCCTTGAAGAAAATCCGCATAAATCTACTAGACAACTTGCTGCCGAATACAACGTCAGTAAAACAACAAAGAAAAGTACCATTCCTATAAAATTCAGTTGGTACAGGAGTTATCTGAGGACGATCCAGACCGAAGGCAACAATTCTGTGAACAAATAATGAACAGATGTCAGGCAGATGTGCAGTTTTTACAGAAAATACTTTTTTCGGACGAAGCAACGTTTTACTTAAATGGTACTGTCAACCAACACAATTCTCGTTATTGGAGCGAGAAAATTCTCATTGGATAATGGAGATTCACACTCAGTTTCCTAAAAAAGTGAATGTGTGGTGTGGTATTATTGAAAATAAAATCATTGGGCCTTACTTTTTTGATGACTCTCTGACAGGTGAAGGATATTTATATTTTTTAACAAATTTTTTGGTACCTCAATTACAAGTTTGGTTCCAACAAGATGGTGCTCCACCACATTTTGCACGTGGAGTGAGAGACTACTTGGATGAAGTATTTCCTGACAGATGGATTGGCAGGCGTGGAGCCATTGAATAGCCACCTCGATCTCCCTATTAAACGCCGCTTGATTATTTTCTCTGGGGCCACTCAAAGTCTCAAGTGTATTTAAATCGACCGGAGACTATTGACGAATTAAAAGAAAGAATCACCGAAGAAATTGAAAAAATTGGCCCGGACGTCATACAAGATGTTCTTCAAGAATTTAATAACCGCATTGGTTATTGTCAAGAAGTTAACGGCAGTCATTTTGAACATTTAATACCATAAAATTGTAGTATTATTTTTTTTTGTCATCGGCATCAACTTCTAAGGTTATTACCCTCGTGTTCTGTGTAGGCTTTGTTACTGTTCCCCAGCGCCACTTTAGTAACAGCACTGTTAATTAGACCCCAACAGTGAATGGTCGAGCGGGGAATCCTACCAAGGCATCAGAATTAATTTTAAATAATTTAAATTAAATAAAAAAATCCCTGCCAACGGTGGGATTCGAACCTGGGACCCTTGGATCCACAGGCAGAGACTCTACCACTGAGCCACCCACCCCTTTTTCAGTATTATTAATAGAATAGTTAAAAATAAAAATTGATGTTTCTTGAATATAAATGTACAAAAAACAAAAAATCTTATACTGCTGAATAGGGAATTAAAAACCCTTTAAAATGAGGTATCACATGCTACCCCTTTTTATTAAAAAAAAATAAAGAGGTGACTTTTACTCCAAAGGGGTTGAAGGGGGAGATAAATAATTTTGTTCAGAAAATGTCATTTTAGAAATAAAAATCGACCTGTTCAAGGATTTTTTTCAAAACGTAATAATAAAGCCAATAATTAATATATTCCACAAATATGGACCACCCTGTATATGTATTAGCCACTGAGAGAGCATAAAGAGGAGAAGCTATGACGATACCACAGGATAAATTTGTTCTTTCTTCTGTGACGATACTAAAAGTGTCCGCACTTTTGCATTACATTTTTACGTCATGTGTCAAACTCAAGCCAGCAGAGTTAGTTAGTTTTGGTGAGAATAAATGCTATTTTTTTAAATAGCTTCATTTAATGATATAAAATCATTCTCAATTCATTAATCTTCAAATAAAAAATTATTGACTTCAAATAACTCAAAGTACGACTATAGTCGCCATTTTGATTACACTCTTCCGTCACTTTTATTGCGCCCACCTATTATATCGCAAAGTAATTCTGTCTCAGTAAATCGATGGCAGCTGATATCGCTATTGTTGAGTATAATAAATGACAAATACAAAATTTCTCGATTCATAATCAGATCAATGCTTTTATAATGTGGCACCATATTTTTAAGCATATTATCTTCAATTTTAGATACTTCAAGGAGGAGGAGGACCAGTTACAGTAAATGCGTCTTTATCTAATGTCAAGGTATTGGGATTTGGAAACACTAAAATCCTCTATAATAGCGTAGATCCTATCACTTATGATTTTTACACGAAATTGTCCTTGCCTAGGCTGAGGATAGATGGTTATTATGAACTTTTAGGACGAATTCTAGTTATTCCTTTGAGAGGAAAAGGATCGTGTTGGTTTGATGCCAGTAAGTATTTTATAATATAATTAGCTGTTGCCCGCGACTTTGCTCGCATGTAGTCGTGTTATTAATATAAAAAAATACGTGACTTCCTTTTTTAATAATTTTTATTAGTTTTATTGATTTTTATTCATTTTTATTCATTTTTATTCATTTTTATTCATTTTTATTAATTTTTATTCATTTTTATTCATTTTTATGCATTTTTATTCATTTTTATTCATTTTTATTCATTTTCATTCATTTTTATTTATTTTTATTCATTTTTATTCATTTTTATTCATTTTTATTCATTTTTATTCATTTTTATTCATTTTTATTCATTTTTATTCATTTTTATTCATTTTTATTCATTTTTATTCATTTTTATTCATTTTTATTCATTTTTATTCATTTTTATTCATTTTTATTCATTTTTATTCATTTTTATTCATTTTTATTAATTTTTATTCATTTTTATTCATTTTTATTCATTTTTATTCATTTTTATTCATTTTTATTCATTTTTATTCATTTTTATTCATTTTTATTCATTTTTATTCATTTTTATTCATTTTTATTCATTTTTATTCATTTTTATTCATTTTTATTCATTTTTATTCATTTTTATTAATTTTTATTCATTTTTATTCATTTTTATTCATTTTTATTCATTTTTATTCATTTTTATTCATTTTTATTCATTTTTATTTATTTTTATTCATTTTTATTCATTTTTATTCATTTTTATTCATTTTTATTCATTTTTATTCATTTTTATTCATTTTTATTCATTTTTATTCATTTTTATTCATTTTTATTCATTTTTATTCATTTTTATTCATTTTTATTCATTTTTATTCATTTTTATTCATTTTTATTCATTTTTATTCATTTTTATTCATTTTTATTCATTTTTATTCATTTTTATTCATTTTTATTCATTTTTATTCATTTTTATTCATTTTTATTCATTTTTATTCATTTTTATTCATTTTTATTCATTTTCATTCATTTTTATTCATTTTTATTCATTTTTATTCATTTTTATTCATTTTTATTCATTTTTATTCATTTTTATTCATTTTTATTCATTTTTATTCATTTTTATTCATTTTTATTCATTTTTATTCATTTTTATTCATTTTTATTCATTTTTATTCATTTTTATTCATTTTTATTCATTTTTATTCATTTTTATTCATTTTTATTCATTTTTATTCATTTTTATTCATTTTTATTCATTTTTATTCATTTTTATTCATTTTTATTCATTTTTATTCATTTTTATTCATTTTTATTCATTTTTATTCATTTTTATTCATTTTTATTCATTTTTATTCATTTTTATTCATTTTTATTCATTTTTATTCATTTTTATTCATTTTTATTCATTTTTATTCATTTTTATTCATTTTTATTCATTTTTATTCATTTTTATTCATTTTTATTCATTTCTATTCATTTTTATTCATTTTTATTCATTTTTATTCATTTTTATTCATTTTTATTCATTTTTATACAAAAAATAAGTGAAGTGGAATGGAAGAAACAAGAAACAGTGAAGGAAATAAACAAAATAGTGAATAACCAAAACATATGGAGAAAATAGATATCTCGTATTTTGCACCAAAATTCTAAAATATGTTGTCTAATTTACATACCTACTATTTCATAATGTTGATTATAATGTAGGTACTGAAAACCAAAATTTTGTAATAATGGGCTTGAATTTATGATCGAAATCTGGATCTGTTCCAAACATGTGTCCAGCGTAATTAGATTTCTACGAAAGAGCGATTCTCTGACATTTTACTTCGAATTGAATGTTACCTACATTTTGATTTTATTTTCGCAAAAATACCGAAAATTAGTTTCACCTGTTTTGTAACAATTGTAGCGGAAACAACATAATTTATTTTTGTTGTGAAATATATCGGTTTAATATTTTTATACATGCTTTAACTACTAGATATACAACTCGTCCTCCGAAGAGAGATCATAACTTTTTAATGCACTTCATATTCAGTGACTAAAATGGCAGTTTTACTCCATATTATGGATTAAAAATTAAAAGTACAATATATCTAATGGCACTTTTACTCACTAAGGACCAAAAATTACGTTTAATCCGTAGGAATTAAAAGTGCAATTTACTTATACTATACAACCGAAAATACAGTTCAAAGTAAGCGTTAACATTACATATAATAACCTTGCACTAATATCGCCATTGCTTTGTTGTTGGAGTACCGTTAAGTGGTTTTTCAAAATTTTCGTAATTTTTTTTTAGTTTTTCTTTTCCTAAAGTGCATAAAATAACGTATGAACCATGGCAGTGAAGTGTTTTTATCCCTCAACGACTTGTCGCAAGGGGATATAAAATGCCACTTCAGTCCCTTGGTGTATACTATATCTACTATTAATGGCTTTAAGATTATCACCAACTAATATTTAATTCAATAATTTTGGCTCATATATAAACTTTAATTCATTAATTAGCCCATTAATAAAAAGTCCAGCCCGAATCACATAACTCACACCCATATTCTGATTAGATGTTGAATATGCAGAATTGAAAAATAAATAATCATCGAATACATAGACTGGATAGACTTTGACACTCAGTCCCATAAGTATTTTCTAATATCCCGTTTTCCCAATCTTTTAAACCTGCATTAACAATCTACTTACGCGGATTCCGGATTAAAAATTTTATGAGTATTTCCAGGTAAGTACCCGAAACTTTGACCTGTTCTTTGGGGAAATATCAACTGGTTAAATGAAATAAAAAATAATGTACAACTTTTTAATTAAATAATAATGGAGAATCTTTTGTATAATTGAGAGCAGAATTAAACTTCTTCATTAATGGAGTCTAATGTGGCTATTATAAACCTAATAATAATTTTATATTACACTTCACACAGAAAATATGGTCTATGTATAATAAGAGGGTTATTTAACTCAAATAAAATATTTTCTAACATAAAAATTTGTTCCATGTAGAGAATTTCAAATGAAACAAAAAAATTGAACTTGCCAACAAAAATGAAAATCAGTCATTATCATCCAAAATATCATAATCGTCATCATCATCATCACTGTCATCACCATTAATAATTGTTATTATGATTGGACTTATTTCGTTTATTTTATTTTCACGAGGTCACCAATCTTCTATTAGTTTCTCGAACTTGGATATTATGGATATACAGTTCCGCCACACTTCTGGAGTTGCAATTGAAAGTGCTTTTCGCCAAGTTTCCCAAACTCCGTCGTCACTATAACCATTAGGCCCAATATGGTTGTCATAATATTGTTTTGCTATTCCCCATATATATTCGATGGGATTAAACTGGCAATAATAAGGTGGCAGACGTAAAACTTGATGACCGTAACTTTCAATAATCTGATCCATAACAAAGGTTTTTGGTTTTGCGTGTATATTTGACAAGCGTAATAATTCTGATTTTAATATATATTGAGGAAATGGTATATGTTCCTTTGTCAACGATTCTTTAATTTTATTAACAGTCCAAGAATTCGTTGGACTTTTGTTTAATACTTCAGAATGGTAAGGTGCATTGTCTAAAATAATTACGCTGGGCCCACTTAAACCTGGGAGAAGTTTTTCATGCAACCATTTTACAAACATTTCTGTGTTCATAGTATCGTGATAGTCACTGGATTTTGATTTACATGGAAATATTAAATCAGCACCTTCTATAAAACCCGATTTCCCTCCTGCATGTAAAATTATGTGTCGCTTCCCTTCTCCATCGGTATGTTTGATGGACTTTACGTTATCATCTTGCCATATTCTCTTGGTTGCACCCCTAAAAAATATCCATGTTTCGTCTAAACATATAAAATTCACCCCTTCTCCTTTAAATTTAGAATATTTTCTTAGAAAGTTAATTCTCTTGTGCACGACAGAACTTCTTTCACAAAGGGCCTGTCTGTTATCTTCCTTTTGAAATTTGAAACCCAAGTTATGTATCACTTGCCATAGACTTGTTCTGCCAATGTCGTCAAATTTTCTATCTATTAATTCCGAGAGAATTGTATTTAAGGTCACATGTTCCTTGTTGGCCCTCATTGGATAAATGGTATCAAGAATTTCAAATTTCTTTCCATCTGGAATATCTTTCGTTTTCAATGATGGGCGAGTTTTGCGGTGATCTTCTTTCGGAGGTTCACTATTGTGATTTTGTAATACTCCTCTTAATTTGGTTTCACTAATTCCTAGAGCATCGCATACGCGTTATTGTACAGACATTACCGATTTTAAAGGACCGCCATTTTCTTTTTTATCCGTTAAATACTTATGTACACAACAATTTAGACTACATCTACATCTAACACACGTCTAGGCATTTTTAAAATTTCCACTAAATTTACAATATACATACAATGTCAACACTTGCAAAGAATCAATTCAACTGCAATATTTGTAACAAATTTAGTACCTACCCTAATGTTATTTTAATTTAAATCTGACCATTAGGGCAATTTTACCTAATTTCTTGGGAAGAGGCTTATTGGAACTGGTTGTCAATGACTAATTTGCATAATTTTGTTAATCCGAAACCCGCGTAATTATAGCGAACAGACTGAGGTACTCCTTCTCACGCAGGTGTCTCCAGATACATAATTTGGTCTTCGCGGACTCCTTTTAGGTGCCTAATTTAAGGTGGTTTCTGTCAAAATTAGAAAAATCTTGTAGTTATCATACATATTTCGATATGCAATTTTGTATAAGTCATGCAAAAACATTAACATATATGACTAATAATTGTATCTTATGTAATACAGATTGTTGAACATAACATTTATAATTAATACACCATACACCTACTCTAAATGTCTCAATTTAATTTTAGATATTTTTCAGACCGTTTTTGAAAATAAACATCAATCAATTTGTAAAAGTGCAACGTGCAAAACTATTGTTTAAATAAAACCATACACATCAGACTATGACACTTAGACACACAATTGTAAAAAAATCAAAACAGATACTTTTGGCAATCATTTTAACAATAATTTAGTTCAAACCATGCATGCAAGCGAATTAGCCAAATTATTCTTAAATTGTATTTAGAAGTACGTAATATATGTATATAGGGTAGTGAAAAAGTCTGGCAACAAGGTATTTTCATTGAAACCACAATGTCACATGTATGTGACGACAGCGTTTAGTATACCGCCACGAACTTGAATTTTTTTAAATAGCAATGCAGGTCAAATGATATATGAGAGAAGAGCCTATTTTTCATCTTTTCAAGAATACTAGAAAAGTATTACATTATTAATATATAACATTCCCTGTTTCAAAAACATTTGAAACATATCAAGACGGTCCTGTGCTCGCGAAACCAAGTGTTCATTGTTGACGGCCAAGAACAAGGGCCCAGTGTTTATACTGGGACAAGGGCACGGCATAGGGTGTGTACATGACAGGAGTCATGTACGCCAAGCAATCAAAGTATGTGACGCCAAGCAACTCCGGCACGAAAAACTAAAGGCTAACTAGTTTAGGTGACGTAATTATATGTGTATCTCTCTTTAAAACAACACAAATTGACAGAAAGGTCCGTGCTTCCATGAAACACGGGTCGACTCTCACTAACATCAATTCTCTTATGTCATACAATAATCACTTAAGCTCTCCGAAGCAAAGATGGAGTGTTAAGCATGTAGATAGTTAAATAAAAATAATGGAAAAATGTATAATGTTAAAAATTGTCGTGCAGCGTTTTTGCACAATTGTTATTTACAAAGTGTTGGAATTTCATTGTCCATATGGAGATGGTTGCAGCTAGCACCGACAGGAGACAGTCCGTACTTAGCCGTACTTATAATTTGTGTTGAATTCAACTGTTAGAAACCTACAAATCCAACATTTCCTTAAATAACTTGTTACTAGAATTGTTCGCATGTTGTATGTATAGGATACAAAAAAACAATAATGATGTAATACAGTCCCATTCATCACCCTACAATTTCATAATTTTATGTAGCTTGTTGCTGCTATATCTTGCATCATTTCTTCCAATGCTTCTTATCTCTCCTAAATTTTCATCTGAGCTACATTTTCTCTGCGAGTATTAGTCAATGTCAACCAAGCTTGGTGACCAAAATGTACGATAATTTCACATAATGCTTCAAATGTGCTTTTTCCATAATTTAATTCATATAATTCTTTTAACTATTGTTAAAAAAAACTATTTTACTTCACTAATCTATCTAAAAATCGAATTCGACTTATATAATAATTATCAGATTGAAAGTTTTCATCTAATTTTGTTGGAATCAGAATTGTGTAAGTCAAATTTGTATAGTTTACAGAGAACATTGACACAAGTTTTCCAAGGGCACTCTTCTGCAATTTGCGATTAATCTAATTATTGTTCCTAAAGAACCGAGTCACTAACTTAAGTATAGAAGAACAACTAACACAATCATATTTGATGACAACTGCGTTTGAATAGGTATATGTACTTTCTATTAAATCCTCATCCAGAACCAGCCATTTACAAAAAAAAAACATTATTTATTAATTTGCGATTTTTTTTAGAAAACTTGGATATCAACGTGAAAAGTGACGTAATAATGGAAAAGCACGACGGCTTCCACTTTTTCAACGTGACGAAGGTCCACGTGAAATTCAGTATAGGTGGTCTTAAATTACACATGGGTAACCTGTTCGACGGAATCAAAGCTTTAGGTAAACATTTAATTTAGAATAAACAGATTAATGTTAAACAGTTAAATTTAGACTCAAGTAAAATAGTCCAAGGTCATTGCTATCCATCTGCTTTCTTGCGAAATCGTGAGGTAAATCTATTCCAGATCACCTAAAGTTATCAAGTTTATTTTTAGTATTTAATATACCCAAAAAATTTAATAATTTTCCAGATATTACCGTAGAGTTGTGGCCCATTAATTTGAATTACTTGTACGAGAAGATTCGACCAGCAGAAGATAATTTTTACAATTTTAACAAAATAGCAGTGGTATAGTTGGATGCAAAAAATCAAGGATAAAATTATCTTGCTTATATTGTATAGGTACCTAAAAGTAACTTCTAGTCACAAAGGAGTGGCCACAATGAGTGGATATCATCAACAACTGGAATGAAATATAATTCCAGAATAACACCTAAGATACATTTTTATATAGTAAATATGAACACCCGACATCTCGCCTAGCCTTTAATAAACTCTTCCAGGTCGACTATAACTATGAGGTAAATCAGGACGGTATAAAAATTCTTGATCGGTAGTTTAGTTGTAGTTCATTATACTCATTGAAAAAACAAACCAATGTATTTCATGCACTGAAATGTGTGTAAGAGAAAATTTGAGAAGAAAGTACTTAACCATCTTAATTTTTCCAGCCAGCAGCCTTAAAGAAATCTGTCTAAGATAAAATAATAATTTATAAACTGACAACCCATAAAAAGGTAAAACTAGCGTGAGTACCAGGAAATTAAGGTATTCCAGGAAATTAAAAGGCTTTAATGTAGTCGCCTGTAATGTATGTATAAAGTTTGCTAGATACACCACTGGCAGATTTCGTCGAATGCCAATAGAGTATGTAACAAGCGAAAATGGGCATTGTAATATGGAATTTGGTAGGGAATAAATTTGTTCAGTTTACGTGGTACCGGCTTACTATTTTAACCCTTTAGTTATTGTGGGTAACACCCCCAATACATCACAGTGCCGACGAGTTGTGTGTTAAAGAAATTTGGTTAATTTCCAAGTAAAATTCCACGTGCAGTTAGTAAATTAATTAATTAAAAGAGTGTTATTTCAAAATGGCGGGTATCGATGAAAGAATATTTTTTCACAGGACTTGAACATGTGTGTTTGAAATAAGCAAAACATCTGCCTCAAAAGTATAAATAATATTATCTATACCTATATGTATAACACTAAATTTGTGGCAACAGAGAAGATAATACAGAATCAATCAGAAGACCATTGAGCAGACCTACTATATAGCTCACAAAACCCTAGGTTAGCTATTCTTGAATTCGAAGGAAGAGAAAAAAAAACAGTTTTTTCTCTTTATCCCAATGTACAGACTTTATATTCCTGTCTAATTTTTCCTTAAAAATTTCTACTCCCTGAAATTCAAGAACATTTTCCCAGATATCCATTATTAGAGTTGTAAATAAGACACTGCTTTGTAAAACATTTTCATGAGATGGGACTAAACAACGATTCCATTACGCTTAGACTATGTGTGGAAGGAATTCGGAAAGACCACCCAGGAACATTTCTTAAATAATTCAATAGAGCTACGAAAGACACATGAGTATTCAGGAATAGTACCCAAATACTCGAAATGTAGAGGGATACATTAGGTCCAAGGTGTTGCAGTGTTCAATACTATATCTAACTCTACCTACCCAAAAAGGCATAACCAGGGCAGACATGAGGGGGGTAGCCGGGACTAATTCCCGGGGCCCGGACTCAAGTGGGGGCCCGGCAGCTTTAAATTAAGAAGGTTTTTTTTTAGAAGTTCGCCACAAGAGCAGAAGAGAGCTTTTGCCAGAAGTTTTTAGCTTGAGGACCTGAAGAGGACGAGAATTTTTTTGCTTGAAGGCTTTTTTTAGAGAAGAATTCATTGAAGAGGAGGAAAAAGGAGAAGTTTTTGTTGTATAAAATTGCCGCGGGGCCCGACCTGGCTCTCGGCGGCCCTGGGTATAACACAGGAATTCAAATAATCACCAAAAGTACAATTTTGATGAATTTGAAAAAGAAAACCTGATGAATGAGAGGAGACGAATCAGATAGATCAAAGTTAATAAATGAAATTTGTTTATTTAACACATGACACCGCTTGGAGAAACTAAAACTTTATATAAACGAACATTTAAGTTTTGATAGGTACGCCCATGTTATTCTGGTTAAACGATGTATTTTCTAAACTTTTATCAAAACAAAAATAGAAACACCGTCTTGAACTTGAACTGAATTAATTTAATTTTTGTTTTTTTAGAGGATTCAACGAACGCTTACCTTAACGCCAACTGGAGGCCAGTAGCCGAATCACTTAACCCGATTTTATCAAAAACTATCGAAGACATCATGCTGGACATTTTGCAAAAAGTTTTTGATAACATACCAGCTAATTTCTTTTTAGGAGATTTAGATCTAGATTAACCTTAATTTAACAAGGAAATTTACCAAAATTTAAACAGAATTATATTTAAAATCGATGCGATTGGTCTATGGTTCAATTTAATGAACACTTTTGTTATAAAAAATAAAAATCTTTACCTACTACCCAATAATTTATTATTTATTTTGTAAATAGATTTACCTCAAATGACACCTCTAAGTGCCGTTACCTATCAGACGAAATTTTTCACTGGACAAAATCATTTTGAAAGAAACATTAACTCAAATTTAATAAAAGTTATCTGTGAAAAGGTAAGACCATGGAGGTAGACCATCAGTATAACAAAACATCTATTAGGGTCCCTGTTTAGTAGATAGTCTTGATTTATAACAAAGAAAAAATTACTCATAAGTTTTTCTATCTAAAATACGACAAATATGTATTTTTCCTACGACAACTTACGAAAGTGACACATATCACACTATAAAGTCCTATGGAAAGTGCCCTATATCACACGCGTATGAATAAGAATTTACTTTCCACCCGAGTGAGAATATGTTACTTTCAGAACTTTTTTTGTTTTTTTTTTTGTTAATTTTTTTTTTTGTTTAAAAAATATGAAAATTGAATAAATACGATTGTTGTTGATTATTTTTTGAAATACATTTTAATTATTATAATAACCTGGTTTTACATTTTTTGATGAAAATATTTTGTGGTCGTAGGAAAAATATAAAATATTGTACATCACTTGTGTGAAAAGTGATTTTCCACACTCATAATGTAATATACTATATTCTACACCCACATGGATATTAGCTTATCTACGCACAGATTACAAAACGAAAAAGTATGCTATTGCTTTCAACTGAACGAATATATTTCATATCCATTCTAGTTAGTGAGAACACTGCAAAAAAATTAAATCCACCAATCACAGTTCATATTTTGATCAACCGACTACTATTATTTTTAAAATTTTAAATAAGTGACATTAAAATGAGTTATTCTTGTATAGTATCGATAAATAATCGAATTTTTATTTTTATTTTGTCTATAGGAAATTATAAATAATTTGTTAATTTAAATAAAACTACCATATGAACGCAATTTAATTAAGAGGATTAAAGCAAAAAAAATAAGTTCGATCTCAGGTAGAGAAAAATAAAATGAATTTTTTTTCTCTTTTTTTTTCTTGTTTATTTTATTTTATAAATTAGTAAAAATCATAAATTATTTTTAAATTAATTATATTATCTTAATAACCTAAAATAATTTTTAATATTTGTAGATTTTCGTTAGTGAGTCGTAGAAAAAAATATACTGTACAACTCGAGTGGATTGTTCATATCCATTTTTGTTGCACATACTACTATTTTTGTTATGGGAAAAAAGTTTGACATTTCCCGGGAAAAAAGTGTTTTCCCGAGGAAAAAACAGAGTACTTTTTTTTGAAATATTTTTCGTCCAGAAAATAAAGTTAGGAACCGGTAAAAGTTTTACCGGTACCTGTTTTTAATTTTTCCGATCGCTGTTTGATAATACAGTCTGCCTTGATTTCGTTACTATCCCAATAAACACAGTTAATCGGCACCGTAACTGAGCCGAAGGAGGCTTGCCGGATGCCGGACTCGGCCCGATATACGATTGCAGCTTCGGCATATAGGTATGGCATGCCCGCTCAGCCGAATGTCGGCAGCCCACTAAATTGTAGCCGCGTTCATATATCTATATATAATATTATATATTACCCGGCTAGGGAAATATTCACCGCGTTCGGTCCGTAAGGATGCCTCCCATGTCTGGAAAGCCAAATGTGGTTTCTACTTCTAAATTACGTCAAATGGTACGGTCCTCCCGGCTTAGAAGACCCCGACAACGCTAATCCGAGTACTCGGCATCCCGTACATGCCGGTGTCAGGCCGAGCAAATGCCGACTATTTGTACTGGGATGGTAACAAACGTTTCGATTTATTGCCAAGTGACAGTTCGTTTATTTTTAGGGTATGGTCCCTTATTAAGCGAAATATCGGTTACTCGGTCCAAAACTAATCGCTCTGCTTGACATTTAAATTAGGAACGCGGTTACCTGAAAATGGTGACTCAAACGTCAATTCACTAACCGCTATATTTTTACAGTTACTATAAGTCGAATGTTAATCTATCACAAAAGTGACGCGAATCTCGGCCGTGGCCCAAAAGTAACCAAGAGATTAGTTTTTTTTCAGGAACCGCTGTCAAAAAATCCTGGTTACTAGCGGTTAGTAGTCGGTTAATAACGGACCATACCCTTAATTTGTTGTTTATGTCAAACTTATTTTCGCAAATTTAAAAATATGTATTCAGATTTTGAATTATCTGACATGGAAAATAAAATTCCAGAAGAAATTTCGGAAGCCGCAAAAATGTACATTTAACATACATGTATTTATGCAGTTGTCTCGCCTACGGCTCGTCCTGGAATCTGCTTGTCCCGACCTGCAAAACACTGCTTTTCGGTCTTGTAACGTAAATTACTATTACGAGGGCGGGCTGTTCTCTTTTCGCTGAGCCTACCTAGTAGATATGTTTGCAACAAATGTCTTTCAAGTTATTTAATCACAGCTGTTGTAAGAGATACCTGATTGTTACATAAGTTTAAAGTAATCCTTTTGCAAAAAGTGGTGGAAATAAACAAGAATCATTATCTGGCTGTGAATTTTTACAATTTCAAGCGTGGCTTAAATCGTAGAGAATGTTTTGAGAAAATCAATCGAGTGCTTCATGACAAGTCGGGTCCCTTAGCTGATAGTTTTCGAACTCCTAAGCCAAAAACGGCAGTTTCAGAAAAAAATGATGAATTTATTCGGAACATGATTAAAGAGGACCGATACAAAACTGACAGAAACATTCAAGCAACAAACATTTGAAAGTTCGTAAAGGTGCGTTCTCACGGGTCAAGTTGATCAACAAAAGTTGAATACAACTTGAATCAATTGTTGTTCACACATTTCAATATAAGCTGAATTATCAGTACCTTTCCTAAAACGATGCAGTTCCTACCCTATCTCCTATCGACACTTCTACGTCGTGACGTTCTACGTCTCGATGTTGTCCATCCCGACGTCATCTTTCCTATCCGACGCTCTACGTCCCGACATCATCTTTCCTATCCGACGCTCTACGTCCCGATGTCCTAGTTCCCATTCGACGCTCTACGTCCTGATGTCCTATCTTTCTACGTCATAACGCTCTCTCTTATACGACGCCCTGCGTCCCGACGCCATCTCTGCGCCCCGACGCTCTACATTCCGACGCACAACGTCCCGACGCCATCTCTGCACTTCGACGCACAACGTCTCGGTTCTCTACGTCTCGATGTCCCCCCTTTAATATTTCCAAATCAGCACTTCCACGTATCAACAACAATATAAAAACGTCAGAAATAGATGGTGAGTCAATGATTATTATTGTATTATTTATTATTATAGAAATGTATTGTTCATTAATGTCACATTTGGGCCGCTAGATGGACACGTCCTAGCATGCATTTGCTGTTTTATTATACCAACCTAAAAATATTTAAGAATTTGTTCAACCGAAATGCCAATGAACCCTGGCTAATAGCTACTAAATAGCAGCTGATTAGGGTAAATGCACATACTTTGATTTTCTTTTACTATACGGAGAATGGTCGCACTGCGCAGGTTTCTGAGTGCTTTTTAAAAGGAGATAGAAAACTCCGCCATTTTGATCCCTTATTACGTGTTGCCTACATCTTGGCGCAATATTTTTAATAGGTGCGTTTTAATCACCCGCTTCTGCTTCGGAATTGTCGGTTTTCTTGTTTTAATCTGACAGGTTAAAACGACTAAACCGATAATACCGGAAGCAGAAGCGGATGATTAAAACGCACCTGATATTTTGCTTGCTGCTGTCAGTGTCAGTGAATATTATTTTTGGAGTCACAGTTTATTGCTAAAGAATCAGTTAGCTCACTCGGATCAGTTGAAAGTTCCAAAATAACATTCACTCCAGGGATACAAATTCAGGATACGCAGAAGACTGCTGTTTTATTATAGGCGGTTGTCATATATTGTATTATCCGAGTTGCGCAGTGTATAAACTGGAACATTGAGATCAAAAGTGCCGACGCAGAGTGAGCGATCTGATTCTTTAGCTATAAACTGTGGCATAGGAATCAAAATGGCCCCGCCCTATGTTGGGCGTGTCGGACTTCTCTCTTGCACCGTATAGTAATCAAAGTATGTGGGTAAATGACACTTCGGACGGCTAGACATCTTACACAAATATGCTTGATGTCACTGCAGGGTTGGACTATCTTGAATAATTATATCTCAATCTTCGAACCGTAGGTAGATCTGATCATAAGGGGTAGTTCGCTGGTATTGATCCAGCTCTATTCTAGTAGGACTACACTACATAACCCCCTCTAGGTGAGACTGAAACATAAGGGATACCCGTCTGTTATTGCAACGACTGTATCTCAGTAAGTCCACCTGTATAAAAAATAAACGACGAAACAAAGAATTATTAAAGATAGTGCAATTTTGAGGTGATGTGAGGTCTCGGTGAGAAATATAATTCCCCAATTTAAGTAATGGTATCGTTATTTTATTTAAGGCTAAAATAAATAAGTTAAATATAATTTGAGTTTTATTTCATTTACAAATTTGTATCAAACTTTGCATCGAATCCTGGTTTATATTAATTAACATTATCACAACGTGGGTATATAAATTATCAATCGATTAACTAGACGATCACTACTTACTAGAGGAAAAAGGCCAAGTACAGTAAGTATGAATTACTTTGAATTTCACAAAAGGGGAGGGAGGGAGGGAGGGAGGTAGTTAAAAAAATACGGGCTTTTAATAATTAAAGAAGCGATCGAGGGGTGGGCGGTTACAATATGTTAAACAATATTCGACTAAATTAAATATCACAAACTAAAATAATTTAATATAGTTCAAACTTTCCAGCTGATAAATTCATGGAATTTTTATAGTAACATATGGATTATATATGTTTTTTTAATTAGAATATTCCTTTTTTAATCATCAAAAGCTGTATTTAACATGAAATACTCATAATAATATATTATGCAACGATCATGTAATGATGGTTATTAGTACTCGAGCATTAACCGAGATACGGTTTATGCGAATGTATTAATAACCATTACATGAGAGTTGCATGCGCTATTTTTTCTACACCCGATAAATAATCAAGAACTATAAATATTATATTTATATTTGTATTGAACACAATAACAGTAATTACTCGTACTTCTATAAAAAATTCTATAAAATTGTAATGAATGGTATTATCTTGGGTATTGGTATTATCATAGATTTTTGGGGCAAAATATTTTGTACTGCATTTTCTGCTGTCTCCGATATGTGTGGAGGAGTCGATGGTAAGTCGTTATATATCGCTGATATCAGACATTTTGATAATATAATTATCGAAGTTTAGCTATCTACGAAAATTTAATACGTACTGATTTTGACAACCAAAACAATTACATAGGAACCTAGGACAAACGTCAAATGCACAACATGCTTGATTGAAAAATTATGGGTTTCTATTAATCAAAAATCTGTATTGTTATGAAAAATCTGTATCATAATGGGTATCATTAGGAAACGGATTATGTGCATATAAGTACATTATTATAATACGGGTATAAAAAAAAACAATTATATATTAATCATATTAGCAACAGACAGCAGAAAAATGACATTTGTCAAATTTAGGTACCTGTTGTACCAGAAACATGTATTATTTTTAATAATTTTAACAATTGCTCTTAATGTTATGCTTTAATATTAAAAAACTTAATTTGTCTTTTAGGGCGGCTCTGAAGATGGCTTTATTAAGCTGAAAGCGCTTAGCCGAATTTTTTAATAAATTTTTTTTTACATATTTTTATACCTTTTCCACTTTCACCTCATCAGTAGTGTGTGCACCACGCTTAGTCTGTTTACTTATATTATTTGTTCTATCTAAACTCGGGAAATCGCCCACATATTCTAGGACACCCTGTATTATGAAAACAAAACGATCCCCAATACAGAATCTTGTGGGATGTGATAAGAATACAAATAGAAAGTAGAAACATAAACATATAAAATAGGGTAGATATAGAATCGCAAGAAATAATTCCTTTTCTTCTAAATGAAACATAATTTTTTCTTCAATAATTAGTAGTAAAATGTCAAGTTTTTAATGTTTAAAGAAAAAAATATAATTTTGAATTTCCTCTATTTTTATTTGTGTTTTGTGAATAAAATGCAAAGTTCCTAAAAAGTGGTCCTTCAAATATATTGTTTAATGTCTGAAGAGTCGGAAATCCATGCGCCAATACAAACACAAATACGCCACTGTCTTAGTGCCTATTAGTCTATGAATCATACCCGCTAGGTTGCCAAATTTAACTTTTGCAAAGATGATAGTTTTACTGTTGAGTTCTACTTAATTTTAGCAAATTCTGACACAGATTTTCAACAGAAGCCGAAACTGAAATAGAAATGGACAAACAAACTTATTTGAAAATGCTAAACTTAGAACTACTGAATCATCCGTACCTACATATTTAGCTGCTAAAAGGTTTTACGAAAATTTGGTAGGTATTACTTAAAAATAAAAAAACCCGTTCATTTCCCAATTTTAAACTCTTAAAAAGTCGTTTTACGAAGAACAATTTGAATTTGAAAAATGTTTAAAAGTAAAAGAATTTTAGAAGATTGGGTAAGTCTAATTAACATTCCAAAAAAATATTCGCATTTTGAATTTGAGTAATTCGTTTTGGCAAATTGTCAGCTACTACAAGCAAGAAAACAAAAAAAAATCGACTCACTTGCCACAAAGGTCTGGAGGGTCCTGGCATTTTTTATTTTGGGGGGAAAAGTCTTTAATTCTCACAATCACCTGGCACCACCGTCAATGATCAGGGATTCTATCCCAAAGTGAACTACGAAAATTTTAGGCCACACTCTCTCTTATACGTTCCATTTTTTCAGTGGCGGCGAAGCCCGCCGCCCACTAGATCTTTATCGAATTATAACGGAATTCCTTAGTCATCAGTTAAAGGTTTTGTTTGTATTGTTTTCAGGTGTTTTGCTTAAAAATTGGCGCAGGCACGAATTTATTTTTGAGTCACTTTCGACGGATTTACGACCTCTGAAATATTAAATATACATTTTTTACGTTGATCTTGGCAGGTTCAAAACAACCGAGTTTAGGCCAAAAATTTGTTTTCATATAATGGAAAAGAATATTTTTTGAGTATACAGTGTGTTACAAATATAGTAAAAGCAGTGACAGCCTGTCTGTACGGGCTGTAGGGCTACATCTTACAGCCTCCCCGTACACGGGGAAACCAATTATATCAATATAAAATGAAAATGTAATGTGTTATCTACCCATACTATTTTTAATAAAAAAAATATATCCCACTTCTATTCAGTGGCGGCTCGAGGGCACTAGCGGCAGTGGGGAACACACTGGAAAGGAATCCCGGGATTCGTTTTTCCCTTAGAAAAACAAGTTCTTCGCTTAATGAAAATTAAATATATTTCAAAACAATCAGTTGGGGCAATAACGATTTCTGAATGTGACTACAGGGAGCTAAATGTGACCACTCAAAATGCATTTAACTATGTATGTGGCTATTTAATCAAAAAATCATTACATATCCACTCTTGCGAAATTTGCGTAAATTTCTCAGAAGAATGCAATTTATTTAACAATTCTAACTTGTTAACGCGTTTTAAAGCATACGACTCTGAAAAAAAGGTGTTTGGCAATTTAAAATCTCCCAGCGAAAAATTTCTCTTCTATATTTTCAAATTATTTGATAGTTTGTCAACTAAGCCTGGAATTTCCAACGCATACCTTTTTGAGATGAGCAAAATAGAATTTGGTCATCCTTGCCAATAATTTGCGAAAATGTACACCATTAAATTATTTATAAGACATAATTTTTTATACTCTTAAATATGCAAACAGAGATTTGAAATCCTCGAAAAAGTCAGACAAAACCAAAAGAAAAATTAAAATTTTGTCCCATTTATAAATATTGTTGATTTTTTTCTATCATATTTTTGACTGCTCTATAAAAAAAAAGTTATTTTTCTTTGTAGTTTTATTTCTTAACTATTCCAATGGTCCAACTAACGTTTTTTTTGTAATCACAATAAATAAATTAATATCATGGTACAACAAACGCGCACCTTAAGCCGAAACCGGCATCGCCTTTGTGAGGGAGCCGGTAAAGATGCCGCTGCGTACATTCGTATCTGGTCTAGGTAATCTGTGCCATGGGTAGACCACGTCACGATAAGGACAGCGCCCCGCTTGTGACGTATAATCCATCGCATGTGCTAAGCGATATTGTCGTTGTCCTTGTTTTTCGCATCGTAATGAGAGAGAAAACAACAGAGGCAAACATTCGCTGTGCCCATCTTCCACTTAATTTCGGAATCCTCGGAACGTCGCTCAACGCCCGGTTATCCAGTGTCGTGCCAACGCGGTTTGCGCTGAATATTAGATAAAATAATAATAGGCATTGAGGAAAATATAAAATATGTAAGTTTTTTGTTTGTTTATTATATACTAGGGCACGTGCCCAAGTGCCCTTACGGGCAAATCGCTTCTGCTTCTATTTATAACTTCCATACGGCTCCTTTGTTTTACTTTTTCTAATCGTCCCTGGCGTTCAATATATTTTCCGTCAACTGATGAGTTGCTGGTTGGCAGGGTTAAAAGATGTAGCGCCCTTAATTCACGAATTCAGGTTGTCAAATCAGGCGCGCTCTTAGATCTCAAATACGGAATTTTTACATGCAAGAGAGCAACGAAAATTTCCGCATTGCTCTTGTGTAGATACTGTTCTGTAGTGTTTGTTTTGTTATTTTAGCAGTGTTGCCAATGTCCAGATAATTATCTCAATTTCGGATAATTACGTGTACCATCGGATAATTTTCTGATAATTCAGTGTTCTACAAAATGGACGTATGTCTTATAATACTAAAAATGTACGGAAGTTTTAAATCATTTAAAATCAAATAAATATATTTTCTAAATAATATTTATGTTACATAATCGAATTAGGATATTTCCCGAAAGCAATATAGATTTACCTGGCAGTATAGTATACAGGGTGTTTCCGAACTTGGCGTCCAAATTTGTAGGGGTGGTAGTTCGCATAATTTGAGACCGATTCGCAGATTTCATTTTTCCAAAATATTTAAAATAAAAATAATTAAAAATTAATTAAAAATTATAAACAGGTACGGTTCTGCACAGCGATGGGATGCCTCGACTCGCGCGCGCTACGCTTAGAATCGACAAAATTGCAAATCGCATCTGTTTTTGAGGACTATTGCGCTACGCGCTCAGGGTAGGACCTGCTCTTTGATTTTTTTATAATGGCTCTATTTTGTTTATTATATTTTTTTTAGAAAAATGAAATCTGCCCATCGCTCTCAAATTATGCGAACACCACCCCTACAAATGTGGACGCCAAGTTCGGAAACACCCTGTATAAATAAATGCTCTGCATGCTAGCTGAAAAATTTCATATTAAATCTTTGGGAAGGCCTACTTCCGATTTAAAACTTACTCAGGCAGAAACAAAATTCAAAGGTTCATATACGAGACGATTTTCAAGGCAAGTGTATAATAAGAACAAGTGGATATGTGTTTTCACGAATTAGACAAGTATTTTAAGGAATAAGAAGAAAGATGTAATAAAAAAGTGTTAGAATACAAGAACCTACTTAGGTTAAGTGTGCTAAAGCAGAGGATCACTTAAAGTGCTTTAGTAAGTTTTGACAAATTTTATAAATCAAGAGTGCCTTTAACAAGTAGCCCCCCCGTAGACTAGGCCACTGAGTAAAAGTAGACTTTTGACATCATGCATACCTATAATTAAATTCACCTGTTTTTTGGCCTTTGAACAAGGCGGCAGGATTTTTAACTGTCATCCTGTCATCTTTGAAAAAGTATGAAAAGAATTGTAACCTCCGACAAATGTGTAGGATGTAACGCCATCAATTCATTGACTATTTGCGTTATAATAAACATTTTAAAGGAGGCAAGGATCATTTTTCTCGCCAAATAAGATCAGAACTATATACTCTCTTTATGAAGAGTCTTTCACAAAAAATCTTTCTAAAGTAGGCCATGATCGACAAAGACAGAGATGTCCGTGATCGTAGCTCTGAATTAAATCCAAACTAACACTTAAAAAGAAGAATAATTGTATGCTCGACATACGTGAAGTTAAGGCCTACTTTAGAAATACTTTTTGTGGATCACTCCTTAGTGGACAGAATGAAACAATCTCTAAAAAAGACATAAGTGTTACTTAATAATACATTTTAATTGTCAAAATTATTGGCATACCTATTAGTCAAAATTTAAATGTCAATTTAAAAAGAATGAATAAATTATAATTAAGTATACTGTATTTTTTACTATGACGTACCTTCCTTCAGTAAATAAGGCTTTTACAAACAAATACCCATTATAAGAGGCAAAAAAACAGATGTTGGTTTTCAGTGGCGTTCTGCTTTTAAGTGAATTCCATTGTCTTGAAAAGGGGGGGGGGTAAAAGGGGAGTGGAACCCTTCTACCCATACAATCGCTTAATTTCCACAAATTCCTTTAAATGCACTTATCTGAAACAAAGGTTTTTTTTAATAAATGCTCCAAATGAAGAAATATTTATGATTATTACAATGTGATCATTAAGATCAATTAGCAATTTTATTCTAATCTAACTTATCAAAAGGGACGAAAAACTTCATAAATTAATATTCTACTCGCTAATCTAATTATTTACACTACCATTAACGTATAACATTTAACTGCACTATACTCTGCTTTAACATCAGTGAACTAACTCAAAAGGCTTGGTTCTCTAGAGTCTTCTTATTAGACTGGATAATCTCAAGGTTTCCATGTTGTTGGTGACTACTGGCAAATTTTTGTATTGTATTTTCAACAGTCTCCACTTTAATGTCCCTATGAAGATCAGTATTGTGTCAGTATATACCAGGGTGCATCGACTATGAATACTTTATTCTAGAAATAACTTCGATAGTACTCTTTTACTGGCACATCCCCAAATTGCTTCATTTCCACGAATTCCTTTAAATGCACTAATATGAAACAAATTCTAGATAATTAAAAAGGATTCATATAAATACTCATGCCTAAATAAAACATGAAGCTGTAGAACTAATAAATAAAACTCACCTCAATTTCTAATAAAGACACATTCTGCTTCCCATATAACAACAGCACAATGCATAAATAACAAAAAAAAGGAAATGGCAAAACCGACAACTCCAATCTATAATTATTTTAGAATACATAGGGTTGTCGCTCTGGCTGGTAGGCTGGACAAGAAATAAAATAACTACATAGGTATCCCATCTTCTTCTTACAAATCAAAATTCTTTATTAAGTGTTGGCCTTTTACAACATAACACGTTTAGAAACCTTTTGTGTAACATGTATACCTACGATGTTTCAGAAACATTTTCGGTGAAATATTTAACTAAAATATTTCAGAAATATTTCAGAAACGTGTGTTTCAAATGTTATATGTTTGAAACGTTTGAAATATTTCTAAAACATTTCTGAAATAATATGTGCTGTATGGGTAAAGATCCATTTTAAACGTCGCACTAATATCCCATATACATTTTCATAAAATATTTTAAGCCGTTTTTAGAGTATCCATTTTTTATAAAAGCAAGTTGGCTTAAATCGACCCCATAAAGTCAAGTGGTTAAATTTACCTACTGTGAGTACAACTTTTTTGTTACACCTTGTATGTATATTCAGTTTCAGGTCAAAAATGTAAATGTCAAGTCAGATGGCCACAAAAATACGTGTATTCTACATCATTTCTTGTTAAAATATAATTTGTTTAATTTAATGT